TCCAGTGAAAGAAAATGTCATATTCTATTCTATTCATAAAGTCAAAATTGGAAGTCATAATTTTTTGGTCAAACTATCGATCATTTGAAAGTTGAAATATACCATTTCCCTGTGCTACATCATCTGAGAAAATGCAGTACAAAATAGAATGCCAAAGTTTCAAACACTTTGCTGACTGACAGAAAAACAAAAACACAAAATTAATTCATTGAAAGCGGAGATTTTTGGAAATCCTCTCTGCAGTTATCCAGAAAATGCATTATAAAAACACTACATCACTACAACAGAATGAATATACGAGAAACATTACATAAAGAAGGGGAGGAAAAATACTTACCATCATTATACACTTCACTGTTTTTCAAATGCAGAGCTAAGTCCTTTTTACTCTGCCATGGGTAGAGTTTCTTGAAGACATGCTTTTTCACAGTGTCGTTTTTACCCTGCAACAAGAATTGTAATACCAATAAATTCAACAATATAAAAATCATGGTATCAATAAAAGATCAATTACAAATGGAAAATTGATAGATAAATGTAAACAGTCGCTGTGCGCCAAATATCTGATTCCCTGAAACTAAATATGAACTACCTCCTGATATGTCTACACTGTCCATTGAATACTAAATAAATAAAACAAATTTTAATCAAAACTTTCTTTTACAAACAAATTGTTGTCCAAATAAAAGCAAGATATCACATAATATGACCGAACAATGATATGCCCCAGGACACAATAAAATTATTCTCACCTCCAGCAAGCGCTTTCTCAAAGTTCTTCGTTCCTTTTTGTCGAGACCAAAATTGCCTGTAGGATACCTGGGTTCCGTTTTCTTAAATGAAGATTTGGAAGCAGTGGCCATGTGTTGAGAGGCAATCCATCTGCCCTCAACGGAGAACCTTCCATAAAGATTTTTTGTTGAGTAGCAAAACATCTTGGCAAAAACCTGCAAATAAAAATAACAAAAGCCTCCTTATTCGAGGAAAAGAGAAAATGCATACAAGACAAACAAATGCATGGTGAAATAAGAGAAGACTTTCACAAATTTATGTGCGCTCACTAAAAACATGAATACAAATAGAAGGATGCTCCTATTGACCCTAGACCAAGGAAGTTAAGTCACTCTGGTGTCAACCATGGTACTTTTATAGTACTTTCAAAGTTGCTGAACTGAAATAGATATCCTGAATCATACAATCAAGTATTCCTTCTCTTTCTTCCCTTTTTCTCATAATCATGTTAGCTGTGTTCTATCTAACCCCACCTGAAATCTGGTACAAAACCAATTGTGGCAGTGTTTCAAGCAATCACCACCTCCACACTTTTGGTACCTCAACAAAAGCCGACACTTCTACTTGATCTAAAATTCTAGAATGATCTTGCACATACCTTAGTAACAATGGTTAATGTGTACCATATACCCACTGCAATGACCAGAAACCTGTCATAAATCTGTTTATTTACAAGATAACAATACCTAGAAAGAGATTGTAAAATTTAGCTGAGTTGGTCCTTAAAATATTAACATTTCTTTTTCTATACTCCTAAATGTTTTGAAGGGAGTCACAGCACATTATTATTTACTTAAACCAGCTTGTGCTGATTACACTAATAACTTATAATCGAAAATAACTGATTCATTTTCATAAAGAAAGATTTACAATTATGATTTAATGTTTTATTGAACACAAGCAAAATGAATGGCCATTTAATATTGCAATGTTTCAATATTTGTGACTTTAATTCATTGAACAGATATAGATTATAATATTAGAATAATTGTACATTCATTTAATTTTAACATAATTTAATTTAACCCCAAGTTTTCCCTAGAACCTTTCCTGTCCTCCTATGTTATCGGTTTGGTGCTAATGGTGGGGGTAATAATACCAACATATATTTGCAACATTGTAAAGTTTCCACACAATTAAAATGAACCACTGCCACAATAATAACGATATAAAGACGTTACATTTCGGACTCACCAAGACTTAGTAATATGACAAAAGAAAAAAATGGACAGAATAAAGTCATACAGGAACGTAGAGTCGATAGAAAGACCATACAATTAAGAAATTAATTAGGTAAGCAAGAAAACTCACCATGGACCAATCCAAGTTATCAATATGAACAAAATCTGATCATAAGCGATTCAGATAACGATAATTTACAAAATCCTCATTTCTCATTTCCTAACCAATTCCTAAATGAGAAACACAACATTCCAGACGCATTAAGTTCAGTTATATTCTATATCAAAGGCAAGAACAACCAAGACTTACCCAAAATGAACAACCTCACTCCACACGTAAGTCAGCTGTGTTTGTTTACATGTGGGACCGGCTGTCTAGTTCGGTTTGTTATATTTGGAAGGTTTGTAATATATGGAGAAAATGAGGGTTTCTCAATACCTTAATATGTTTTTGTTAAACTGGTGAATGAATTCAGATGTATAAGTAATCAAGGAAAGGAAACTAACACGATACATGGTAAATAAAA